TAGAAGAATGATTCTACATATTTTACAAATATAAACATACCAAAAGTACCATCAGACCGCTGAATTCGTGGATTAATATTCTGCAATTGATGAATAACTGGAGCTAAATACGCCACCGTTTTCCCAGTTCCAGTCGCAGCATTAACAAGCCTAACGTCCCATCGAGTCAGGAACATAAATAACCCACAAAAAACCAAAATAAAAACACAACTACGAACAAAAAGAAAAGGATTATGGATAATTACAAGTGCCGGCCGGATAGCACAACAGGAATTGCCTCAGCCTGAACCTGTGTTGGACCCTCGAAACTCAACCTCTCTATTCAAGATTAATAAAACAAAATTTCAATATAATATATTTTTGTTGTAATTAGCCAAAAAATTAAGAAGTACAGAATTAGGAAAGGGAATACCTTTGAGCTGATCGCATAAGGTGGGATGAAGGCCAAGGCTAGAGAAAGAACATGACGCGAAAACTTCGGAATTCTTTTTGCCGTCTGGTTTGCTCTTTACATTATTCATAGTGTTTTGTTTCATTCCTCAGCTAACAATAATTGTGAGGACCTAATTTCAGAGAGATTTTGCTAATTCCCTGGTATAAGATATAGAGTTTAATTTAAATGACATAAGACAATGATAGCAGCTTAAAGCATACAAGTGAACACAGGGCTGGCCATGGCCAGGATTTTACGTTAAGCATTTAAATTACATCTTATTTCCTAATTAACGAAAGTATTAGATGAATTGATAGAATTGTCCCAATATATACATTCACGTGCAGTTTTATGTTTTCTGTTGATATTAAGCTGCTCAAGATTTCCTCTATAGGTAAAAATAGCCATTTCTATTGATTTACATTGAAAATGATGATTGTTTTTTTAAAGAAGACAATTTTTATCATTAGATTCAAATAAACGAGAAAAGAATAGAAGTGAATATAAAACTTATTTCTTCCCTAAATCACCACCCTCACCCATCTCGCCGACAACAACCCTCTCTACACCACCAAAGTTGGCTCCAACCCCAACCCCAAAGCCATCCAACACCTCCATTGTAAACAAAAAGATAGCTACGTAAAAATAGTGTAGCATGGACTTTGTAAGATCAATCATATTGATATTTTAAATGTTTCATTGATGTGAGTACTTTTTGATGTTGTTGAAATATTAATTCAATACATTATCTTTGCTAATTTTTTGCTATCACAATGTAGGTCCAAGGGCATAGCCAAAAATTTACAACATGGGAGCCATAAATATTTTTTTAAGCTAAATTCAACAGTGGGAAAATTTAATCATTTAAAATCTAAAACAAGCCTAGTGTTGAAAAAATATTTCAGCATTATCCCTCATAATAAGGACTTAACCAACCTTAAAAAGCAACATAATATTCCCAATGGAGAGTATGAAATAAATTGGGAGCCACCTACTCTCCAACTACTCATAACAAACCTGATAAAAGAGAAATAAGCCAACACTCCCAACTTTCATTACAAAAATCCACAGTTCAACTTAAATTCAACATGCAATTGATTTTTGGTTCATATTACCAAAACCTATTCAATGCAATTCAAAAGCTAATATAAACAGAATTATACAATTCATCAATAAACAACAATAACACACAAACTGCAACAACGGACAAATCAGGGGCGGAGCTACCTGTGTCTAGTGAGGGCAACTGCCCCACTGGATATTGGTCCTGGGTATATCACCTATTACACTTGAGGGACGGCCAATTTTTTAGGCAAAGAGAAAACCAAAAACAAAAGCATCAAAAATTCAAGAGAAAGATTGTCCAAAAAATCAGGGCCGGGCCGATCCTACGATTGTCGAGGCCCGAGGCGAAGTCCAAAAATTAAGCCCCCCAAAAATCAACATAAATGCAAAATTCAACAATGTACTATATAATCTATTGCTAACTTAAAACTTATCATTAAAACAACAAACAAATATCTCAATCATCTCACAATTAATGCAATTTTATTTCGTTTTCCTTTTCTCTTTTAAGCACCGGACTCATATTTAGGAGGTATGGTATATGAGTCTATATCTAATGTCCAATGATTAACATAAAGACAATTACAAAATATCTCAATCATCTCACAATTAGAATTTTCAATATAGGTACTACATGCACCTGTGCAATTGATCTTATAATGACCAATCACATAAGCCGGTCCGGCCACAATTATTTAAACTGACAAAGCTTCAAACATTTCCAAATATTCAATAAAAAATTTAGGGCAAGCCATTGCTTCCCTGAGAAGTAGAATTTCGACGAAAATTATGAAAT